TGTGTGTGTGTGTGTGTGTGTGTGTGTGTGTGTGTGTGTTTGTGTTCCATATATATTATATTATATATGTCCTGGAGGTGTGGAATCCAAAGGGAGGGGAGGAAAGCCCATTTGCAGGAAGTGTTGGGATTCTGTCACTGGAGCCTCTGGCCTGGGAAGGAATGAGGCCTTGGAACTCACATGGTTCATGCAGCCATTGGGCCATTGTTTCCCAGATGTAAAACAGCACCAGTGAGGCCGCATGCCTGGGCAAGTCACCATGGGTGGGTGTTGGCGATTGGACCCGTCGGCATGCTCCAGGATGAGAAGTGGCCAAGGTGAGTAGAAGCTGGGCAGGCTGAGTTTGGCTGGGCCTTGGTGGGGGTTCCAGCTCCCCTTATGAAAATTATGATCTGCACAGACTAGAAAGTCTTGTGTAGCCATCTTCGTCCACCAAACCAAAGCACCTGGAGTAGCGGCCTTCCCAGCTGTGCCCCTGCACCACCCCCAGCTCCCATTTCTCCTGGGCTCAACAGGCTGTGAGTCAAACTGAACCACAGCCAGAAACCCATCCCCAGTGGTTATTTTTACCTCAAAGTAAGACTAACTTGTTATTTTAAAATCTTTTCTTGAACTCAAGTGACAACTGGAGAAAAAGGCTGTTGCCTTTGCTCTGCCAACTGGTCCTTCCTTACTGGTGTGAAATATTCACTGGAAACCCTCAGCTCAGCACTAAAGGGAATCAGCGAACAGCCTTGGAATATCTTCTTTTTTTTTTTTTTAATATCTTAAATGGCTGTGTTTGCCTGTCTCTACCAGAAAGCAAGGCTACAGCTCCCCAGGAACGCGTGGCAGAGAGGAATCAGTTGCCTCCCAGATTGTGGTTAATCCAGGAAAATTAAGGGGGCACAGATTGTTTTTCCACAGGTGAGGTGCCACTCACTCATCCCTTCCTTCTGCTCCTAATTTCCCCCTTCTCCACCCTTGTCCCTGGACAGAGTGGAGGAAACACCCATGTAGGCCCATTCCATTGCTGTTCTGCCTACTGAGGGGAACGGGATCGGCAAATTATCTTGTGGGGCTGGGGATAAGAATCGGAGAAATAACAGCACAAGAGCACAAGTGTAGTTCACTGTGAGGACAAAGGGATGCATGGAGAGGGTGTGATCCAAAACTGTGATGTATTTAAGAAAAATCATTACAGTAAAAGATACATTGCTATTAACGACCCTCAGAAAGCTTCCCCTTGCTGCAAACACACTGATCTTGTCCTAGAAGTTCTCTTTTCTGTCTTTAGTTATAATGCTGTGGCTGCCTCCGTGTTCTGAATTGATTCAAAATGTTTATCTTTCATAGTTGTTTTGGCTGTGGGAAAGAGCCAGAAGTTGTACAGCGCCAGAGCCAGTGAATATGGTGGACGAGGGAGCACCGTCGAGTTTTTATTTGACAGAAATGACGTGTCTAGAAAATGGCCTGAGAAATGGGCAAGAGATTTCACACTCCATCTTGTCAATACTCACATAGTGCATCTAGTATGGCAATAAAAACCGTACAGTGTGTCCTCGTCCACCTTATTCACCAGATCTGGTACCATGCAAACTCTGGCTCTTTCCCCAAGTCAAAATGACCATGAAAGGTAAACATTTTGAATCAGTTCAGGACATAGAGGCAGCCAGGACAGTGCCACTGAAGACACTCATGATACAGGACTTTCAGAACTGCTTCGGAAAGTGACAAGAACAATGGAATGAGTGCATTTGAGGTGAGAGGGAGATTAATGGCAATGTGTTTCTTACTGCAATTCTTAAAAATAAAAACATTCAGTGTGTATTTTGATTATACTTCGTAGCCTTGTGGTCAGAAGCCCTGCTCAAACCCTGAGTGCTACACTTCTGAGTAGCTGTGTGATCTAAACAACTCACTCAACTTCTCTGAGGCTGGGGTTTCTTTCCTATAAAATAAGATCACATATCGGACTGCCCTGAAGACGAACACAAGTGTTGTTCGTGAGAGATGCACAACGTAACACCAATAAGGACCTAGTTGATAACAGTGGCTCAAGTCAGGAAAATACCAACAAGTCCACAAAGGCACTGGGCTGCCACGTAAGGAAGCAAGTGCCACAGGACGAGAAGGAGCCAAGTGAAAGAAAGGTCACTGTCTCTGAGGTTTCCAAAAATTCCGGCAACCTCCGAGAGGCTGGCTGAGATGGGCTCCGCCATCACAGCGCTTGGCGGGAGGGGCCTAAGAGGAAGGAGATTGTGAGCCAGAAGAAGGCAGACATCTGGTTCTTGGCACAGACCCTTATGTGTGCCACCAAGCCCGCCCATTGGACCCGACTTGGCCCCTGGAGTCTATTTTTGCTCTTCTCATCTTACAGATCTATTTTGTTAATCTCCTTATATTTGCTGTTTTGACTTCCCAGCCAGCTTGCTAATCAGTTTGCCCATTTCACTCACAGGGTTTGCATTTGTCACTGGGACCTAAACACACACTTGTTTTGATTTCTTTTTGTAAAATTAGAAGCGTTTGATGTAATGACTCTACCTAGACACAGCTGGTAAAGTGAGAATAATGCTCAAGTTCGCATAGTTGAAACACAATGTAGACAATAATTAGAAATGCTATCTTTAGATGTTTAGGGTAAGCTTTTTCTCAGAATTGCAGGGAATTTTTTTCCGAGTGGGGCTTTTTAGTGCACATACACAGAAATACTAAAAATGTAAGAAAATAGAGCAAATCAGTGAGCACTTTGGTCAACTTGAAAGACTGCAGGAAATAAACCAACTGATTTTAGATCTGCCTTTTTTGACTGAATGCATAAAATCTTTACATTCACTGTATTTTTCATGGCTACCATATGATCAAATAATTTTAGGTGACAGATTGCAACTGACAAGTCTCTACAATATGCTGTAAGCTCGGTGCTGAGAATGACACAAATAATACAGATAATTAATCACCTATATCAGGAAAATCATCACTTTTATTTCAAGTAAGAACAAGATACAGTTATGCTACACGGTGATCGTGGAATCTAATACAGCAAGGCCTGCAAAGGAAGAGCAGTTACTTCTTTTTTTTATAAAGATAGCTGCAAAATAGCAGCTGTTTTTTGTTTTCTGTTTTTTGAAGTCAACTCTTTTACATTTAGTAGATGGTCACTGGCGTCGGCTAGGATCCCAAACTGTGTTCCTGAGCTCTCATTAGATTTTCCAAAGTCAAACTTCCCAGTACTATGCAGACTCCCCCTATGTATCCAGAAGAAAAAAGTCTCATTCAGCAAAGAGGTGATAAGGGACAGAAAGCAGCACATCTGTACGTCTCGTTTTAAATTGCCTTCACGCTGGATCGACTCGTTTGGCTTTGTTTTTGTGCACAACCACAGTATCGAGAGACGAGTCCTTGTTTTTCTCTGCTTCTCTTTCTAATTAGATTCACTACCGAGTTCCTATTGCAGCTCTTTCTGCCGTTTTCTCCGCTCAGAAAGCCATCTGGGGAGAAAGGAATACATTAAGGCAGTGGGCTGGGGGCAGTGCTTGGAGTTTTTGACACCCTAACTGGGGTACCCTTGGATTTTTATCAAGAAAAAGTGTCCCAAATGGAGGCTTCTGGAATGAAACAGAGGGAGAAGGTCCTTCAAACGAGGGCTTTTCTGAAGAGACGTGGGGCACCTGGCACAGGGTGCCAGGAAGGCCGTGAAGCCGGCAGAACACCTGCTTTTCAGAGGCACAGGAAATCCAAAGGGCAAAGCCATGTGGTCACTTGAGAGAATCAGGGGAGAAAAGCTTAATGGGGGAATCGCTGGTCTTTGGAATTTCTTAGAGACCAAACTTCTCACTCTCGGTGGTTGGCTACTGCACACGTTCCCAGTGGGAGGAACACATCAGAAAATTCCCCAACATTTGAACGGCTGATGGCAGAGCCCATTTCAAGAACTTTGTGTAGAGGCAGGGGTGTGTGTATGGGAACAAAGCAACAGTGAGGAATCTAAACTAACTCAGTTTAATAAGGTGGACTAAGCAGAACAGTACAGGGTCAGGGCCTTCTAGCCCACGGGGCTTGGGTGGTGATAGCCACAAAAGCAGAGAGGGGGCAGGAGAGGAACAGGAAGGGAAGGAGCCAACTATGACAAATGCCTGCTTTACAAACACCCATCCTTTTCCACAGGCCTTAATTAAAAGAAAGACAAACGCCCCTCTGTAAAACTGCACACTGAGTAGCTCTGCTCACAGGTACACAGCTATCACAGGGGAGCAGACAGCCAAACGAGTGTTTATTAGGATGTCCGTCCTGAGGCTTTATCCCCACTCCTAAGTCTGCTGGAGTCTCAGGAGGACCAGCAGGCCTGTAGAGGTGGGGACAAACCCTCTGCAACTCAGGGTGGCCACAGAGCAGCTGGAGGAGAGGGGAGATGCAGTTTCCTCAACAAACCTAATATTCTGGCTTTTAATGCAGGGACAGAGAGGTGTGGGGCCCAGAGACAATACCTTCAGTGCCCACTCCAGTCTCCTTAAATCTGTGCTTCTAATACATGATTTTGTTTTGGCAGTTATGTGTCTAAGACAAGTCCCCTCCCTGATTCAGAGGGTAAATCCCGATTCACTTAAACCCATCATCTTGCTGAGGACTGGCAAGACATACAACACTTCTGAACAATGCATTGTGGCAGGAACTGGGCTTCCTGCTCTTGAAACATACACACATACACATGTAGGGAGAAACTTCCTTCTGCCTTTCGATATATATGAGAATGAATGATGCCTGGAGCTGTTGCAGCCATCTTGTTATTGTGAGGAAGTAGCTGACATGGAGGCAAGCAGAGAGGGAAGGTGGAAACTCAGATCATCGGTGACTTTCTTGAAGGAAGCTCATGTGATGCAGTAGAATCTACTTCCCATTGTTTAAGTGTCTGCAGGTGTGACTTGTTGCTGAGAATACTGTGACTGGCGCAGGGCTGTCTGGCACAGTGGGGGAAGATTGCTGCCCACATTCACAACCTTTAAAAAGACAAAGGAAAACCAAGAGTAATTGCCAAATCTCCCTTTAATGTCTATGGAAAAAAACACACGTGGTGGGGATACAGAGGGATGACAGTGTCACACGTGAAAACAGGGTCGCCATGGTAACCTAAGTGACAAGATCAAATCTGTCTCCCATTCCATCTCATAGAGCCATCCAGACTGACGGCACACACAGTTAAAGCCGCAGCTCCTCTCACCCCAGCTTCCCAAAGCCCAGACTCTCTGGGACTGTTTCCCTGGCCTTCATGGCCTCCGTTGGGCTTTATTACAAGCCCCACTTTCCAGAGAATGATCATCAGGCCCTGCAGAGGCACCTCTGGCTGACTGTGTGGCAAACCAGAGTGCGAGTAGGTTGAGAGTTTTTACTTTGTGTGATTCCTGGGTTGTTTGGCTGTTTCCTTTGGTTGTTCTGTGCCGTAGCATTGAGTATCTGCAGGCCCCGTCCAGCGGGACGGCTACTTCTGTGAGCGCTGGACTGGTTGAGGCCCACAGCTGCAGAAGTGAGCTGCCAGTAGGGGCCATGATGGGGGCTCAGTGGAAAGGAGGAGGATGAGTGGAGTCCTGGGTCCTGGGGTCGCATGTGTGTCCTCACACCCCAAAGCAACAGGGCACCGGCTCCACTGCGCTCCTGTTCTTCCAGGCCAGCGGCCTTTGGGGAGCCAGGAGAAAGGAGCAGTGTGCACCTGAGCAGGCACTGTGATGTCTGCCAGTGGCGTCACCAGAGATGCGACCTGGCAGGAAAGTGGAGTGCCGGCTGGCCTCCCACCCAGGGCGGCGAACCTGTATGCATGTCAGCTTTAAGGGTGAATGTCTAACCTCTGCTGCCCCAGGAGCCTTTCTTTTCCACCAGGAAGGTGTCTGCAATCTGATGTGACCCGACACTGTTTCTCTGAGGTGATCTGAGCAGTGGGATCTGGTACCAGGCTCTCTGGGAGAAATGAACAGGGTCCAGCTCATAAAGTCCATGGCTGGATGGCACTGCAGTTTCCTGCAGCCTCAGACACTGCACAGAACTGCTAAATCTCGGCCCTAGAAAACCAGGTAGTGATGGTCTGTCCCTCCTGTCTTACCCTTGGACCTCGTCCTGGGTCCCATGGTCCCCTCCTCATACTGAGCTGGATGAGGTCATTTTGTTTTCTTCTCTTTCCCTCCCAGGGCCATGAGCTCTGTGTCTTGTCTTTCAAACTCCAGTGCCTGGTAGCACTGAGGACTCAGCTGCGCATTCTGTGGAAGGACTCAAGGGTTCAAGGTCTGGATGGTACAGGACAGTAGACTGACACCATACAGCCTGCTCTTTCCCAAACCCAAAATGGCCTCAAAAATCCTACAGGTAGCACAGGTGGAATAAACCAAACAAGCATTTCTACTTCTAGCTGTCATCTCTTCTCAGAAGCAAAGAGTCAGATCACCACTGGGAGTCCCCGCTGTCCTTCCAGACCCTCCTCTTCTACCACTTCTGATCAATTAATCCCCCAGATTTTCAGGCTACAAGACTAAGCTCTAGCAGATTGCAAACAGGCCTGAACAGGAGCTATGGCTGTCCGACCAGAAGCCCAACTTTCTCAAGTCCCTTTCCACCCACCACTTGGCTCCTTGACAGTCAGTGCTGGTGGCGGGAGGCCAGGAACACCCATGGGAGGTCCACGGCCCAGCAGACACACTGCGCCCCATTACACCTTTCTCTCCAGCCGCCTCCCCACTACCAGACCAGACTTGAAAATCCATCCATTTCCAGCTCTTCCCATAATTTTGATCAACAACATTCAATGCTAATAGAAAAGCATCTCATCTCTAATAAAACCAATGCTGACAGAAAGACGGATGCCAAAGACCAGCCATATGGCAGCCTGGCCCTGTTCACAGCAGCGCATCCTCAGCAGTAAGAGATGACACCTGAGAAACTTGAGGACCCGCGTTTAATAAATCACACCCCACAGGCATCGTCGGGATGTTCACAGTTTGCGACAGGATCCAAGCCATTCCTCACTCACAGAGGCTGAGGTGTTTTAGGAAAAGGCAACCTGTGCGGGTATTCTGACGCTTCATACTTTTCTTGCTGTCCCTGGTGCCTGCAAAGTGTCACTGTATTGGACTCTGTTCCCCTTCATGTTTGCACGCTTGTGTCCACACTCTCTGAGATTCCTTTCCCATCTTCCAGTACAGCCGCTTCAGTGGATGGCTGGGCCGGCTCTAAGCTGTCCAGGAGGGGTTTGGGGAGCTCCACCTTGAAGGCCAGGCCCACGGTGGACAGGCTCCTCCATCCCTCCAAGGGACTCCCTCTCCTGACCCCTTCCGGTTCTGCGGCCGCCTGCTCTGTTGTCAGTTTAATTATTTCCCTTCCCAGCCTGTTTACTTCTTCCTCTTCAGAAGGTAGCCGGGGTAGTGAAGGATGAAAGTGCTCACGCTGGCTCCTGTGGCTCAGGTTTGCTGGGGAGCTGACAGCGGGCCTCCCGGCATCCTCAGGCGCTGTCAACGCCTCGGCGGCAACAGGTCTTTCATCTCCTTCCTGCTGCTGATCCTCCCCTGAAAGCAGAGCAAAGACAGCGTCAAACCTCTCGCAGCCAAACTCTCCTCAGCTTCTGTGGCCGTGTGGCGGGGACCACCTCCTCTATGCCTGGCTGGACTCGTAACCACCCTCTGAGGGCCCTGGCTGGCTCTGGCTACCTCTCTGTGCCTACTAAATAGTCAAATCAAGGACAAAAGTTTTGTCTAGGTGGCTCCAGGAGGACCTGAGGCTCTTTAACAATGAACAGTTTCCGGCTGCCTTCAAGGTGGGAAGTGGGATAGTTGGGGAAGAATTTAGTGCCACTCCTGTTCTCCATCAGCACCTCGTTCTTCGATGGGGCCCCTGATGTTTCCTGACTTTCAAACAAAAGATTATGTGCAAAAGCAGCTTCCTCCTGCAACACTAAGTCCCTGTCCCTAAACCCCCCATCTATATAATAGAAATCCAAGAGCTACAGCTAGAGACGGACTGGAGACGAGGAGGAGTCCTGGGGGTCAGCATCATCTCCCTATTTTCCTGCTCACTTGTTTTGTGGTCAGAGCAGCCCATGTAGTCTCCGTTCTCAGGGCCAAAGTGAGGGGCAGGACTCCCTGGTATCCCTTACAGCAACAGAGGCTTCCCAGACTCGGGGGCAGATGGGCAGAGACAGCTCTTACTTCTTGGCTTTGTCCACTCAGCATCAGGCTGTGTTTCCCAGAAGCCAAGCAGTGCAGAAGAGCCACAAGTGGGCCAGTTCCAGCCTGTACACAGGTCCAGGTCTAGGGAGCAAGGGCCCCGGGAGCACCTCCTTGTATTCTGGACGGACATGCAGGAGACCCCCACTGTGGTCAGGCTTGCTATCAAATGCAGGCAGGTGCATGTGCAGGCTGCAAGCTGGGTGGTGGGGAGCTGCAGAACTGCGGGAGGCTTAGGAAGGAAGCTGAGCTTGTTTGGACCAGGACTGTTCTCCTGCTTACAACCTTTTATCAGAGCTTTGCTGTCTCGGGATCAACTGTGATTCCTTTCCCATGGATCTTCTGCAAGGCCCTTCTGATGTTCCCCTGCTTTTCTCTGCAGACTCATTTCCCAGTTTGGTCACATTCACGTGTCCTCCCAGCCACATAACACACCTTTCAAGTCTCTGCACATGCCACTCCCCACTGACACTTCCTGGTGCTGTTCTATGCTAGGTGATGTACCGAGTTCTTGTTGTAGAATGTAAGTCCACGAGAAAAGGAATCACACTGGACTTGTCAACATGCCTAACACATTGTAAGCATTCAAGAATAGCTTAACAATACAACGAACTTTTCTTTTTTAATGGAAGTATAACATCTGTGGAGAGATGGGGACAAATCTTAATGCACAGCTCTGTGCTCGTTCACTTTCCATTGCTGTAAGAGATCCTGCAATGATTAACTTATAAAGAGAAAGGGTTCTTTCAGCTCAGGTTTAGAAGTCCCAGCCCATGACCAGTTGACTCCGTTGCTGCGGGCCGAGCAGCATGTTGTGGTGGGAGTGTGCGGGGCAGCTGATCCCATGACCAGGATGTGAGACAGTGAAGAAGGAACTGCTGTCACCGCCCCTTTCAAGGCCACACCTCCAATGACCTAAAGACTTCTCTTGAGGCTTCGCCTTATAAATGTCTCACCACCTCCCTGTGGCACCTCTCTGAGGACCAAGTTCCCACAAAGGGGCCTTTGGGGGACATTTAAAATCCAAAGTATAGTAAGCACAATGCATTTTCACAAAGCAAACACACTCATGTAACCAGCAACCAGAATTAAAAAAAACAAAACAAAAAAACACACCAATTCCCTATATACACTTCCTAGTCTGGTGCACCAGGCCCTAGTCACTTCTCTTCTGCCAAGGGTAACCACTGTCCTATATAGAACACCAGAAGGAGTTTCGCCTGGTCTTTAATTTTATATACAGGCATCTTACTGGGCATGCTTGTGTCTGGCTCCTTTTGCTGTCTACATGAGGCTTGTAAGATTTATCCATGCTATTATGTATAGAATTTGTTCATTTGATTGCCTGGTTTTCAACAAATATTGAATGAGGACAGGCAATTCACAGAAAAATAAATGGACAGTGAACATATTAAACGATTCATAACATCACTCATAATTAAAGCAATTAAAATTACAAAAGGATTTAATTTTTCATCTATCAAACTGGCAAAATTTCAAAGGTTTTTACAAGGCTCAGTGTTGCTAAGGATACAGGGAAACAGGTACAATCCTATAAAGTAAGACAACAGAAGGTAGTAAAATTGTTTTATAGGCCATTTGGATAATATCTACTACAACCTTAAATGCATTTATCCTCTGACATAGCAATTCTATTATTAGGAATCTATCTATGGCTATCAGCCCAAATATTTCAAAACACATGTTTCTGTACCCTCCAACCTTACTTTTAATAGTAGAAAGCTGGAAGGGATCTAAGAGGGCACCAACAGGGGATAACGCATAGAAGTATACTTGCTGAGCTGCAAAATTCCTTCCAGGGGCACAGGTTGAAGATCCTTGATTAGAAATGTTGGGACCAGAACTGTCTCAGATATCAGACATTTTTCAAGTTTGGATAGTTGCATATATATGCTGTAATGAGATCTCTTAGGGGTGGGGCCAAAGTCTAAACATGAAATTCACTTATGTTTCATAAATACCTTATACACAACAATATTGAAAGTAACTACATTGGAAATAAACTATATTTTTAGCCTGAGGCCAGGTGTGGAATTTTCCACCTGTAGTATCCTGTGATACCCAAAAAGTTTCCGGTTTTGGACCATTCAGATTTCAGATTAGGGATGCTCAACCTGTGGGCTAAAAATGTAGGTTGTCCAGGGAAACAGTTTGAGGACCAGGGTAGGGAGCAAGGGAAGAAGAAGGCTTTAAATTTAATTTCATTTTTCTGCACTATTGTTTTTTGCATGCTTGTGTTACTAGTCTTATAAAGTCAGACCTGCAGCCTGAAAAATTCCACTAGATTGTTTTAAAATGCAGCTTAAAATTTATACAATTCATAAAAGCATTATGTCTGTGACCCATTTTAATTTTAATACAATGCATAAAAGTATTTCTGAATATGACTAGTATGAACTTTTGAACATTTAACTAAATAACTAGATGTCCTTTTTAGCATTTGTTTATGTAATAAGTGTTTCAAGTTTCAAGAAACTTAAAAATAGTTATGGAGTTGCTAACATTTATGTGCAGACTGCAAAACAGAGGATTTTGAATGTTCTCACACACACACACACACACACTCAATATTCAAGGTCCCAGATATACCAATTACCCTGACTTGATCTTTCAACATTTATTGAAATGTCACACTGTGTTCTACAAACACATACAATGTTTATGTGTCAATTAAACAGTTTGAAAAATTTTAAATGGCCGAACCCTGGTTAAAAAAAAATTCTGAGAAATTGTGGCAGAAATGAAATAGTGAAATGAGACAGCCTATAGGACTTCTATGAAACTAGTGGGATAAAGGACAGAGCCTGAGTGGGAGAGAAAGTGGCCATGTGGGAAACTAAGCATGCTGTCTTCACTGTGGCAGAGCCTGTGAGTTTCAACACAGCAAGGCAGGTCCTGGCTGTTGACCTCAAACTCCACAGCTATAATCCTATTGACACAATTTTGCTTTTCATATTGAAAAGAAGCCATTTCATTCATTTTGATGACCACAGACAAATCTCAGGTACAGATTTCCAACCAAGTCCACTTTATACTTTCTAAAGTCTGTATTGAGTCATAGGGAGCTCTGTATTATTTTCTACATAAGGGTTGTACCTGGAAACAGGGCTGTTGTCTCATAATGAATACATGATCCATGAGTGAAAGAAGCAAGCCTTTTTTGTTTGTTTGTTTGTTTGTTTGTTTTGTACTGGGGATCAAACTTGGGTCCTTGTGCTTGAAAGGCAGGCAGCCACTGAGCTAAATCCCCAACCCAATCCTTGGTTTTTAAAAAATAACTTACATACATCTGGTCAGCCAGGCTAACAGTGCATGTTGGATCCTAACAGGTTCCTTTGCTTCCAGCCATCTCTGCAGCAGCAACATGAGCAGCATGACTTTACGGCTTACTGGACATTCAGGGTTTTAGGCCCTGCCCACATCTATAGGTGCAGAATCTGTGTTTTAATAAGATGCCAGGCCATGTGGGCGGACACCACGGTACTGTTAAAATACAAATCTCACGATGCCTTTGTATAGCTATAAAACCTTCAAAGGCTGCTGGTGCCTCCAAAACAAAGCCAAAGTTCTTAATCTGGCATTCACAACCCTCTATGCCCTAACACCCATCTCCCTTTCTACTCAATGTCCCAACTTCTCTTTTTGTATCCCTACCCTCCAGCCATATCACCCCTTTGTGGGGCACTACCCTACCCCAGTGCCTTTGCTTAGGTGGTTGATTACCCCAGGACTACAGTTCCCTTCTATATCCAATGACAAAATGTAAGAGTTAGCCCTTCCTTCACCTCCTCCATGAATCTTTTTTGATTAAGCCTAGTCGCTAGTCATATTTTTGGTGTCTGACTTCCTAAAAGGGTATGTAAGGATCTCCTAGAGAACTCAGTGCTTTGTATTTTCCCCCTCAAATTGTTACTTGTAACTACCTTAGGTAAAATAATCTTGCCCGATCAATTTTTTTAACCTTGTCAGTGTTCTACAGTAAGTGCTCATATAGATCATTAATAAGTGCTCATATAGATCACTAAAAGTATGAATATATGGGCTTATACATGAATGCATGAACAAGAGAATATCTTAGCACACATCTTTATATACAATGAATACATTAATATGTGAGAGTACTCTTTGAATTTACTGTATTCATTTTAGGTCGTATTCAGGTTGCTACCCTAAAAGTTCTCAAAATGGTACTTTCTGGAAAAAAGAAGATTTTTGATCCACACAAACATTTAGCTATATCTAAGGAAGCTCAGGGAAGCAATCACATAAATTTCATACTAATAAATGAAACTTTTTATGGTGGTTGTAGAGGGGACATGAGAAACAGTGAGTCAAAATGAGCAAGTTCCAGCCGTGTGGGGAAGCTTTATTCAAAAGGAGTAAATTAGGGCACTTTCTGCAACTAAATTTTTCACCAACATGAGATGAATAAACTCCTTCTGGAAATTACTCTTATGAAATTACTTCTTCCAGGACACTCACTAGTATATTCTGGTGCCCCTGAAAAAATTAATTAACCTTTCTCATAACAATCTAACCCCTAAACCATTTGCAGTGCTTTTTGGGTTTTTTTAACCATGGGTCAGGTGAATCTTCATTTACATCTAAGTGAGGGTGGCCTAAGTTATATGAAAGCCTTTTGGCTGTTGGTGTTTTTCCCTTGTGCCATTTCTTTCGATGACATTCTGCTCATGTCCAAATGTATGGATGTGTTCTAAAAATGGCAAACCTTTGAGATTACTGGAGAGAAGTGTTTAACTTCTTTGAATGGGGAGACAACATAGCTGTCACCATTATAGGTTATTATACAGCCACCATATGGGGAGAAATGAACACAGGCTGCAAGTCTATGGTATGGTCCTATTGAGAATTTATTTTTTCAGAGAAAGGTTGGATTTTCAGACCCTGGGAACAATAAAGACTCAGGAGCCAGGCTCTGGGATTGGATGATTGGTCAACAGCAGGACTTATCAACATCTCACCCCTCTTGTCAAAATACACTCAAGTTGTCAGGACACAAAGCAAAGTTCCTGAAAATGTCCCAAAGGATGAGCTGTCACTGGGACCCCTGGGTACTCTGTGTGGGAGCAGAATCCCTCTTTAACACTAAGATTTGGGAACATTAACTTTTAATCTCTGAGAGTTTTAATTTTCCTTTAATAGTAGACTCACAGCATTGCCATTTCCATAAAAGATTTCTGAACTAAGAGTGGGAAAATATTATTGCTAATAATAATTATTATTCTGTGCTGTTTGAGCAACAGAATTACTATTATTAATACTGATTCATAATACGCACATATCAGTAATGATGAGGAAGTCAATGGATACAAATGCACCATTATACAAACAGTGGGGAAAGAAAAGTATTTTTTTCTCTAAAAGAGGGGAAAAAAAAAAGAAAATAGTGTTGCTTTGTATAAAAGACGGCCAGACCCCTAAAGATGTGTTCCCCTTCCTTTCTCCCAAAGGGGACATTTGTCTGCCTTTGTTAGCTGGTCTCTGATGGTCTTTGTCCTCTTGAGTGTATGCTGCTTTTGGCTGGAATTAATCAGGGCTGCAGCAACGATGGGCCATCCCTGACACCACATGAATGCAGCCTTGTTCCCACCCAGCACTAGCAGAGGATGGGGCTGGAACAATGAGAGCTAATGATGGAATTCTGGAAGCTATCATTTCAAATCAGTCCATTACTTACACCAGCCTTGTGAAAATCAAGCCAGGCTCATGCTCCGTTTCAGTTGAGCAGGCCCAGCCCCCTGCTCCCACCCCCTACACCGAGGCTGAGAAATCCAGAACAGACACAGGGTTTTGGATCTCCTTGTGGACACCAGGCACCACCACCAAATGACCACCAGCCAAGTTGCGGGGCGTGGTGCATTATGGGCCAGCCTTATAAACAGCTGCATGTTGTGGGCTGGAAAGCCCCAGCCTTTGTTTTCTGGCCAGTGTGGAGCCTACAAGAGTTAGGGGCTCTCTCCAGGAATCCCCCTGATAAGTATTTGGGGAACATTTCAGTTGAAATCCTAGACATGTCCTGGCTTCTGCCTTTACCACTCTGCACATTACGATTATGAAGTGAGCAGGTTTCAAAATGAAATTGTACAGATGCATGAGTGAGCTTGTTGAGCACAGCTCTGATCAGCAGCGCTTCCTATCTGAGCCAGACTCCCAAATACACACGATGGTTGCTCTAAGCTCTAAGTTTTGAGGAGGTTTGCTACACAACAAAGGCTGCCATAGCTGGCTAGCTCATTTTGGTAAAACGTGAGATGATTGTGAGGTTAGAAAGGTGTACTAGGCCAGGCTACAGAGTTGGCATCTTAAGCAGAAGATAGCTGAACACCACTCGGGACTTCTGAGCAGGATGCGAGCAAGATGGGAAATGATCTCAGGGGTTTTGTCCGACAGCAGCAGGATGAAGATGGGAATGACGCAAGGACAGCCCGAGAGGCAGAAAATCCAAGAAGGGAGCCTGCCAGTAAGTTAACAGGGGCCTGAACCAAGCCAGAGACAGGAGGGACTGAGGTGCCAGGAAGAGTTTGATGACAGTCCATATGTGGAAGGGCAAGGCAGGATGACAATCGTCAGGTGCTCCCAGGTTTCAAGCCAGAGTGCCTGAGAGGGTGGCCAGGAGAGCTGGTGACATTACACTTGAGAATATATAGAATATTCACTGGGAAAGTTCACATTCTGGGAAAGACGGGATTATAACTGCAGAGAGAACCCAGAAGAGGGAAATATTTGAGAATAAAAAGTGTGATCAAAATGTACAGTGAATGTTTTTTTTTTAAAAAGCAGCTACTACAGTAAACATCACCTTGCCATTCATGCCTCTCAAAATACACCCCTCGCTCCAGACACACTTATCCCCACATTCATGACACTTTCTGAAGCGGTGCTGAAAGTGCTCTTTGGAAAATGCCTTCATGAATTACTAAAAACAAAAAAATACACTGAATGATGTTGCAAAGTGCTATCCAACAGAAAGGCAGGACTGTACGAATAGTAGTGTGTCCTCAACCACCTCGTTTACCAGATGCGGTACCATGTGACTTCTGGCTCCTCCCCAAAGTCAAAATGATCATGAAAGGTCAATGTTTTCAATTGATTCAGGACACTGTGCAGCCACGACAGCATAACTAAAGAGAGTTTTGTTGGAAAACTCTATGGGAAAAGATCATAACTGGTGCCTTGTCTGGTCTCTTAAACGGGTCTTTAGTGTCCTCTAAATCCATGTTCCTGGGGGAGGAGGCTGCCCCTTCAGTCTACTGGTCCCCAGACCTCACTATAGGCAAGCAAAGTACCAAGAACATGTTACCACTTCTAAGAGAGGAAACTGAGTCACTAACCCACATTCTTCCAGCCCCTATGACAGGGGACTAGAATGTGAACTCTATTTAATTCCCGAGTCCTCCCTTTTAATCTCTATGCCACGATGCCAGAGTGCGGGGCTCTGCATTCTTCTGCGAGGTCCACCCAAGATGACCACCCCGGGTAAGCAAAAAGGGGAAATGTGAGGACTGCCTAGATGGTGCCACTGGGCTGTGGGAGGGGAGGGGACCTGAGGTCTGTGGAGACCAGCCAAAGGCAGAGAAATTGACGTGTGCTTACTGTGACACTTAGTCCCCCTGTGTCAACTTCGAGGGATTAAGAAATACCTAGCAGATTGATAAAGCACACCCCAGGGTATGTCTAAGTGGGTGGTGATGTGATCTTAGATTCTATGTGTGGGCCTTCACCCATTCTCCTCTGGCCCTGTGCCCCTACTCTGCTCCCTGGCTCCCACAAACACAGCAGCTTCCACTCTGCCACACCGTCCTGCCATGAAGTTTCTGCCTCGGAACCAGCCAAATGTGGACTGAATCCACCGAAACCTGAAACTATGAGCTAAATTAAACCTTCTGTCCTTCAAGATGTAGGTGTCAGGCACTGTGTTCCAGAGATGAGAAGGCTGACTGATAGATACACTTACCATCCTTGGGACTTGGTTGGTTCTCTGTGGGCTGCTCAACACACTTCAGCAGTGGGGATCTCGACCTTGGTGTGGTGGAAAGAGCAGGTTCACGGAACAGTATGGTATCCTTACCCCCTGTCATGGGAAAGGGGAAAACGGATGTGTTATGTCATCATGGAGCTGCGTTGCATTTATTCTTACATAATGAACTGGCTGATTGATTAGGATCCTTACTCCCTTGCAGGTAATGCAGAACAGAATAGCCAGCAGGCCCTTTCTCTAAGTTGAAGATGGGGCTATAAAGTCCAGGCCAGATGTTTATGGACAGACCCTGATTCATTCCTAACCATCAGCTCAGCTCGGCTGGCGATACATGCTTCTACTGAGAGGCAGCCTGTATGTCTTCTAGAAACGGAGTGAGTGAGACAAAATAATTCTAACAACAGCAGAGGGCTTGGCAGAGTAGGCTTTGGGGCTATACTGTGCTGTGTGTGCTCTGGATACTGTCACTTGCTAAATGGTGACATCAAGAAAGTCACTTAGCCTTTCTAGGCCTCACATGTCTCATTGGCAAAGTGAGGGAGAGTAACAGCCCCCATCCCTTGGGTGGTTGTGAAGATGAAATGAACTGACTGATGCAAAGTGTTTGGGTGCTTAGCCAGCGCTTGGCAGATGTCACCTGTTGAAGGATTAGTGCTGGCTTCCATGCACCCTATATCTGATTTGATTCTACTTAGTCATTTAGCTTGAATAATAACTGCATCCTTAGGCAGACAGTATCAAGTCTTCTGAATCTATCCAGCTGAACTTCCATTTAGAATATATAGTTCCAGTCCAGCCACATCCTTCTACCTACTGGTAACAACTCCTCAAACAGATGGGAATGCTTGGGACAACGAGAAGAAAAAGAAAACTATGACAGCTCCATGCTAGAGGCTGTGGCAAGCCACAGAGGTGAGGACCAGGGAAGAGCAACTGTGAACACAAGCATGATGGACAGACACAAGGCAGACAGACAGAAAGTGATACAGTCCCAGAGGTCGGGAGAGCCCACCAGGGAGGATATGATGTCAAGTATTGGCCCATGAGGCTTTGCGATTCTCTCACTGTGTGAGAAGTGAAGCCCCAGAGGCCACGGGTCCAGCCTACATGCCAGTCTTATCTGTCTGACTTTGGGTAAGATCTTTGCTGAAACTGTGTGAACCTAGCCCAGGAACATCTCTGGGACTCAGACGTGAGGCTCCAAAGTCCTGTGATTTTCCTCACAGCAGGTTTAGCCAAGCACAGAATGGCACTTGGGTTAACATGTCTACTACTTCTTTGGAGAATAAGGTCAAACCACGGATACAATTTCATTATTCAGCCTCTGAGTCCCTCCTACTTGTTAAACTATTTTCCCATCAGGCTGTGTCTCTTATGATCTTTATTTCCAAGACTTTATAGGAGACCTTTGCACATGGCAAGTGCTTAAGAAATGTCTGAACAACTGGCTAATGCATTATTCTTAGGAGTCATAGCACCTGGTGGGCCTGAGTAGTACTGCTGCCTCAGGCAGATGGACCAGCAGTCACAGCCTCTGGTTTCTGTCAGCCAAGAACTGTCCCCAAAGAATAGAACCTACTAGGAGCTGACCCTGAACTTCTATTGTCTTATACAGAAAAACCCAGGAATCTTCAGGGCCACAGTCTACAGGGGATTCCCAAAGACAACTATTAATCTGCTGCTCAGGCTGTTGATAGGAGCCTAGAAGAATAAAGTCAGCATGACCAGCTCTCCCTTCATGCAGCAAAGACACAATCTGGAAGCACCTTGATAGATTCATGGTGATCAGGTCTTGGGCAGTAAATGCAGAGCAGGTGGCTTGTGGTAGATTTCTTTTGTTTCTCTCCATCAAAGCAACACCACCTGTCCACAAATCATTGTCAGGACAGAGTTTCTTGAGCCATGTTTCTTTGGCAGGTGGACTGGCAGCTCTCTAGCCTCCAGGGGATTTGGTAAGGTACACATACTGCCCCTCCATATTCCAATCAGCCTCCCTAAGCACCTCTGCCTTGGTAGCCAAAGAATCAGTAGTGTGGGCAGTATGGGAGCTGGCAATAGCTGAGTGAGGAAGGCAGCCTCTGGTAGGCCTTTGGTGCTTTCTCACCAAGGGAATTCATCAGGGTGCAGTGTCTTCTTGACCCCACCCAACCACATTCTCCATACCCCAGTGGTGCTTCAAATATGCTGGTCCTAGCAAAACCTATCCAGAAGTCTGAGCCACGAGCATGTAGAGGAGGGAAATGGAAGCCTCCTTCATCTATATGCAGTCAAAATGGGGGTTGGGGAGACAATAAGTAAGCTTTCCAGACTTTTTCTTGGAGAGACCATTGCCTGATCTTAAAGTAAAATGCCAGGACTCGGTCATTCTTGCCAAATGTCTGAAGGATTCAAAACCTTTTCTTAGAAGGCACTTAGTTCTATTCTTTCCAAGCCCAGATTCCATCTGTGTGGACTAAATCAAGTCCTAATCTGATGATCTGAATTCTTATACTTTCATTTGACTCTTAAATCTAAAAGACAGAGAGGAGGGAGATATTAAACTAGAGTCCAGTGAAAGTAGTAAGGCCGCTCCTTTTTCTATTTCTAATTCATATTTTCTCTCCCTCCCTCTCTCTGCCTCCCTGCCACCCCCCCCCCATGCTAGGGAATGAACCCAGGGCTTTCACACTGAGCTACATTTTTAGCCCACTTTATTTCCTCTTTTGAGCAGGATCTCACTAAATTGCCTAGGCTGGGCTCTAACTTGCAACCCTCTTGCCTGAGTCTGTGAGTGCCAGGATTATGGGCATGCACCACCGTTCCCAACTCTCCCTATTCCTTGTGGTTCAAAGGTCCCCCCTCCTTCTCCAAAATGTACTAAGTACTGTTAAATCACAGGTCAATGCTTGGAGGAGTGGAGACAGAATGAAAATAAAAAGCTCAAAGAGCCAGGCTCTGCTCAAGCCACATAGTTTCTGTCTTTCTTTTCTTTGCTTTGCTTGTCTGTTTGTTTGCTTGCCATGGACAAATCCTGGAATCTTCCCTCAGAGCTACCAAGTACCATTCTCCCTGCAGAGGTGAACAAGGGCTGAGGAAATGAGCTGGCAGGCAGAGGGCTGGGGCAGGTGGGAGGTGATCCCTGCTGACAAGTGCGGCTAGTGGGGCCCACCCTCTGGCTTCCTCACCATGCCCCATAGCTTCTCCACCTGTGAGAGACAGGTTAAACAGTTTGGGATAAGCTCTGCTATCCAGATGATTGTCTGCATGCCGTGACATATGTCTGACGTACCGACTTCTTAGCAAGATCGCGAGTCTAGCAAACATCAAGAGCTCTGTAGCATGGACTGAGAGAGGAGGGAGGGAGAAGACTGACAAAGAAAAAAATCACAGAAGGCTGGAAGTCCAAGAGCCGTTCTGCTGTGTAGCAAGGGGGTGAGTAGGCTCTTCCACCGTTGCCCATTAGAGTCTCCAGAGAGATTGCTCTGGGTGTGAATTATTTCCCTACAACCCACCTTGCTGGGCGAATCACTGTCCAGCTGGCCTGATCTGCCCCTGCTCCCTCTTCAGAGGTGTAGCCATCCAGCACCAGTGGAAGGTTACAGAGAGGAGAACCTGAACACCTGCACTCACACCAGCCCCTGTGGCTTTAGGAATCATCTAATTTCTTGCCTCAATTGCCTCATCTAAAACAAGCAAGTCAGACAGGATGCAGAAAGGGCGGAGTGTTCTTTCACATGTCAGCTCTGACCATAGATGGCTTCCTGGAAAGCCACTGTGGAGGAGTGCCTGAGGGCCAGGTCTGAAATTGTTAAGGAAGAACAAAGTGATAGGTTAGCAATGTCTGCCACAGGCATGGGAATGGCTGCTGTACGATCTACGCCAACCATTCACCATCTTTGCGTGGCCTGATCTCAGCTGTCCTTCTAGGATGGGCAGTGACTCCTCCCGTCGTCCTCTCACCACTCATTTAGCTCTGAATCCTACACCATTCAATGCTTTCCTGTCACTGCCTGATGATACTCGTCTCGCTCCTCTAACTGGACTGCAGATTCTGAGAGGGGCTTGAGCAGGTGCCTGGTTCTGCAGCAAATTCACAAAACTGGTACTTAGGAGGGAGTCCACACATCAATGGGCCGATTCATAGGAGGAGACGCTGACCCTTTCAAGATGCTGGTGAGCGAGAGAGAGAGTTGGCAATTCTCTAAAAGAAACAGGCCAAACACTGTGACTGGGTTCCTACTTTGGGAGAGGACCAGAAAGGGAAAGAAAAGGAAGGGAAGAAATGGAGAGAAGCAGCAGGAGGAAAAGAACACATTGTTTCTCACTCCACTCCTCAGTAGTTCACTGGAGACACATGAAACAACGAGCAGCAGACTCAGGCTGCAGGAGGCTTCCCCTGCCCTTACTCTGAAGGGATTAAGATATCATAACACATTCTAACCCCAGGCTTTATTGACACATTCTTCATCTCGCACCAAGGCGAGGCTACACAAACCGTATCAGAGCTGGAGAACCAGCGCTTGCCCTGCCGTCCACCCCTGTTGTATCTAGTTGAGGCCAGAGACTAGAACAACCATGGCCATGACCCAAAAATTCATTCAGTCAGGTCCCTCAAAGTTAGTATTTGCTTTGTACTAATTGGATTCTCTATTTCAATGGACTATTCTAGTCAGAAACATTCAAGGAGGGCCGGGGATTCAGCTCAGCGCTTCGGTGGCCTGCCTTGCAATCGCAAGGACCCGAGTTCAATCCCTGGCTAAAAAAAAAAAAAAGAAAGAAAGAAACATTCAAGGAAACATACATAATGAATTTCCTTGTATTTACATGCAGGGAAGACAGTATGCAGGGCTGATATTAGCCACAAAAACAGATTTCAAAAAGAACATACGGCCAAATCCTATGGAAACATTGTAGCTCAGGCCTTCAGGCAGCAGAGAAAGGAGAGAAACAAGCGTTACTGCAAAATCGCCTTAGAAATTCTCACCTGGACCCCACACCACCAGACAGAAAATTCTCAGCATTTGTCCCCTTCTTCAATTTCTATCTTTTTATACACATTACAGAAATGAAGCAGCAAGACATTTCACTGTCATTTTGAGAAGAAACAAATAAAAACTCTGGTCGGTACATGCATAGAAATGGCAACACGATTCTACAGATGAGTGACACATTTGCTCAGCTACGCTGAAGTTCAGGGCAATAAAAGCAAGGCCCATAATAGCATCCAAAGGGTCTTGTGTCCAGTGGATCATTCCGATCCCCAGGACAGCACTAGCCACTAATTACTTCTGTTAGGTCTGTTGACATCAAGTTCAAGGAATCTCAGCTCAAAATGCTAATTTATGAAACACACTTCCAGGCAACCGACGGTGGCCATTCCGATTTACGTTTAGGAAAAGTGGATGGTGTCCACCCCCCTGTGGCAATTTTCATTTCTCATCCATTACAAGGAAGCAGCCCACACGAGCTCAGGGAACAGGAGACCGCTCTGTGCAGAAAGGGTAAGCAACTAAAAATATACACTGTTCCTTCCAGAGAAAGAGGAGGTGGGAGAAAATGATAAATATAAGTTTCTAAAGAGTAGGGAATAGCTGACAGGGGTCTCCTGAAAGGGGTATTTTACCAAGATAAATGGGATAAATGCAGCTAATTAAAGTGAAACATCAGTTTTCTCACATGTCGGGCAAATGTTGGGGAGAAAATTCCTCGGGAAATTTTTGTGTTCAAGCTACAAAAATGAGATGGCGGAAAGCAGGAAAGGGTGGTTGTGAAGTACACTGCATTAGAAAAATTGTTGGCTCTTCACTTTTAGTGCCGGTGATTAAACTGAACACATCATTGTACATGCTTACATTCAATTTTAGGACTGATGATTAAACTGAACAAATCTTTGTAAGATCTTTATATTCATTTTCAGGACTGATGATTAAATTGCACAAATCTTTGTATATGCTTACATTCATTTTAGGAGTGATGATTACTTGAACAAATCTTTAGAAAAAATGAAACAATTCACTACATTCACAAAGGGTACATACGCACACAGACACACACCTAAATTCCGACAATTTCAGAATTCAGAATTTAGATTAGCAGAATTCGGTGCCTCATACATGAGAAGGAAAGTATTTATTGTATTTTCTGATTCTGTCTTCTACGATGGTTTCTACACTTAAAACACTTGTAGAGTTTTCAGCAATGACCCACAAATAAAGACATTAAAAAGGTAGAATCTTCTTTGCAAACTGTCTGAGAGCTTCTTTGTAAAAAAAAAAAAACAGTTCTGAAGTTCTATTTACCTGGAAGACTCCACAAACCAGAAACTTCCAGAGTTCTTAATTTTTTTTCCAACTCAGCTACCCGATTCCCTAGGATTCTGGAAAGGGGAGAAAATGACAACAGATTAATGAATAACCCGTCAGCTTTTAGGCCTGAGAGGTGGCTTCCAGGGAAACCCAAGAGTGCCTGAGTAGAGAGAAAATGGTTGGAAATGTGAGATAAATGCTAAAAATGGAGCACACATATGCATGTATGTGTGCCACACATACTCTACTGAGTCACACAGGAAAACAGAAACTAAGGTGATCATATACACATGTGTGTATATATGTATCTATGCATATCTATATCATCTATGCCTACATCCCATTCAAGCAAGTCCTCTTCCAGTGGTTCCCCTGGGAAAGCAAAAACTTATTCTACCATTGTCCAAAATGCCTTGCAGAATTTCCTACTTGAGAATTGCTCATGGCTAAGGGTAACAATCTGGGTTACCGTTAGGTGGACCATACGTTGATTCTTTAAGGGTGGATTGGATTTTCTGGAAACAACTGAGTCTAACAAACAAGAAGGGTGAAAATGGTTGGGTAATATGACTCGTAAGAGACTAAACTAGTAAGATCTGCCTTCTTAGACCCACCCAAGGCCAGGGATGACCACAGCCTGGAGGTTTAGCACAATGCCTGGTACACAGTCGGTCCTTAATAAATATATTTAATAAGATAAATCTTTTGTTTTTCATGATTTGTAATTATCTTCAGAGAGAATTCAAATAAGCATTTCAAAAGAGTTTTCAGGAATTTCAGAATCAGTACAATTTGAATGTTGCTTTTGAGATGACCATGCTGCCTCACTGGGACATATCCGGTTCTAGAATATGCATCAGAAAAGATCACGCTGTTTACTTGGAAGCCAAACTTTGACTACATGCTTAAGTGGACAAAGATGTGGACTTGCATTCCCCTCTCCTTTGCTCCATACAAAATTAAATACAGCTGGTGAATGATATGATAGTCATCAAAAACTTCAATTACCTTCTATTGGCCTAGAAATTGAAAAACTGGTCTTTATTTTATTTGGGGGATTTTTTGGAAACTGCTGTGTTAAAATGATGTGGAAATCACCTTAATAGCCAAATTTCAATTCCTTGCAGCAGGATAAATCAGAAGAGCAGAATTATTCTCTTACCTCTCTTTAGATTCCAGAGATAGCTGCACACACCCACGTACATAGAGAGGCATGAATATGTATAGGTCTGCACATATATATGGCTTTGGATTCATCCTTATTTTACCTGAATTGACTCGTAGCATCTTAATTAATATTCCATTTGAGTTCACAGAACACTTTGACATTACTGTATGTAATTTTCCTCATCCGAGTACTTAGAGTTTTCCTTTCTTCTTTTTTTTAAGTCTTAAAATTCTGCCTTTATCAATTACTTTCCACATCACTCCATCTATTGGGCTTCTTTTGCTGTCAGGTCCTAGATCTTTTCATAGACAGTGCTCCTCTAACCTTGCTTGCAATATTTTGTTCAGACCTCCTGATCCCAGCTCCCTTTCACCAGCTGACAGGCCAGAGATGCAATCACAACCACGCTCAATGTGACACCTGTTCTGTAACAAAATCAGATCATCTGTTCGTGGCAGCCTCTCCAAAACAAAAGACTCGACTCCGCTCTTCCGGGTGTGCTGAGGGAGGCCATCTGGGCTGCGTGTGAGGGCACAGTGCAGACACATTTTTGGTCCCTGGACAACACAGCTATTTCTCCCAGAAACAGAACAGTGTGAATTTGTAGGTGTCATCAACCATCTACTTCTAGGGGCTTTGTCCGGTTGTCAGTAATAGGTGCTTTCTTTTTGTTCTGACATGTACCAACTTCCCAGGACTCGATGTAGTAAAATGGGCCCAGGAGAAGTTGTGGTAGTTGTAATAGTAACAGTAGCAAAATCAACAATACAGCGACTGCACTGCTATGATCAGAAACAGCTGACTAATCTTCCCTACATGCATGTGTGAGGCATAGGCCACGCTGAACACCTACCTAGCTGGCATTATCTCCTCCAAGCTGACAGAGACTCTATGGTAGACATTGTATTATGATGCTTCTTTTACATACAAGAACATTAAGGAACAGAGAAGTTAAGCAATTTGTTCGAGGACACACAGCTTATCTCAACACAGCCTCTCCCACCATACTATACTCACTGAAGCCCAGGATTCAAGTGACAGGGCTAGGACAACAACAAACTATAAGAAATAGGAACAGAGATGACTCCTCAAAATGTTTAGCAGGGCATGCAAGGGACAGCCACGGTGGTGGTTTGAGAGTAGCTTTTCAGGGGAGTGGGTAGGATAGGATATTTTTTAAATAAATTTTTATTCAGTTATGTTTGTCTTTTTTTTTTTCAGAGTAGGGATATTTCAGCATATATTTACCTGGCCATCTAGGAAAATCCACAAGACAAAGGTCTACAGATGAGTATTCCAGCACGGTTCCTTTTTTTCCACATCCCACACCATTTTTTTTTTTTAATTTTTTAGACAGGCTTTCAGTAAGTTGCTAAGTAGACCAGGCTAAGCTTGAGCTCGGGATCCCCCTGCCTCAGCCTTCCAGACTGCTGAGATTACAAGTGTGCACCATCACCCCCATCTCCAACATGGTTTCTGGTGAAAATGACAGCACTGAGGGTGGTGGGGTTAGGAATCTTCAGAAACAGGAATGGCTCAGGAATGGGCCACAGTTGTGCCTGCAGAAGTCCAGGAGTGAGTGTCCCTGAGGGGCCCAGTCCTACATGAGGAGTAGCCCTACATGACCTGGAAAAACCGCGCCCATGCCCCAGCCCAGTCTGGTGGCCTTCAAAATATCATGACACCTTTTCCCTGCTACCCAAGAAAATGAACTTCCAAGCCAAGCCCATTAGTCACTGGCCGGGGAAGAGGAAGCAGTTTTAGGGACAGCAGCAAAGTGTGTTAATATATTCACCCCAAACCCACTGCCCACCCCTGGGACTTGTGGGAAGGCTGGGAAACAAACTCATGTCCAAGGAAACATCACTTTAGCCACTGAATCTCCCTCCTACAAATGCTCTACACTAGATCATTAGATGAATCAGCCCAACCTCTTCTTTAGCCATAACCAGACAACTGCCAGCTCTTTGGCAAGAAGAACCTCAAACAAACTGCCTAATCACTGAACGTCACTCAAAATGTAAAGTCCTAGTATTACCCATCGTTCTTCAAGATGGCTCCGTCTGGACTTCTCCCTGACGGGGAACTGTCAGGCAGTGGGTCACCAACAGGGGGAGCACGCGCCCCCGGAAAGGAGCACCTTCATCTTCTCCACACCACACCACCATCCCAGAGCTGTTTTATTATTTTGGTTATAAAGGTAAATCAGTAAGCAGGCCAAATTCAGAGTCTTCTCTTAGCCTTTCATTTGTAGTATAGTTTCTTTACACAATCTTAAAATATTTACTGAAAATATGAAACTTAAGACCTTCTATGCACGAAAAATGGCACATTAGACACTCTATGTACTGATATATAGCAATCTCCATGATCGATTGCTATGGGGGAAATCGAGGTGCAGAAAAAATTTTACAAAAGGAAAACTTTTCTGTGATGAATCCTAGCTATCATTTGTTTTAAAAATATATATAAATATCTGAATGTATTTGCTAGTATATGCATCCCCTTTGATGTGAGGAAGAGTAGCTTCTTCCAGCAAAGAGTTTGGGTAGTTGAGGGGAGAAGTTTGGAGGTCCATTGTTATTTAACCATGGAAGGGCTTAAAAAATATTTTAAAATATTAAACACCCACCAGGCATGGTGGCAAATACCTGTAATTCCAGCACTCTGGAAGGCTAGGGCGGGAGGATTCCAAATTCAAGCCCGGACTGTGGAATTTGGCAACTTAGTGAGACCCTATCTCAAAATAAGAAAGGAGAGAAGAAGAAAAAACAGGCTGGGGTTGATGGGGAGAAAGTGTGTGTGGGCACTGGCTGTGGTGAGAAGCACTGCAGGGCACCTGCCTGCCGGGAGAGCAGGATCCTTCTGCAGAGGAGAGCCATGGTGGGGAGGACTCCAGCGCAGGCTGGAGGAGGGGCTCAGGGCAGCAGCCAGCAGGTGCGCACAGGGGTTGCAGGTGTGTGGCGGAAGGATGGGCTGGAGCCTGAGGGTGGGGGTGGTGATGGTCCACAGGGAAAAAGGCAGAGGAGCACACAGGAGAGTATGTCAGACACAAACACAGGACAGCCATCCAGCCCGACCACCAGGGGGCACAGGCATGAAGGGACCAGGAGCAGAGGCCCAGCAGAGGGTCGATCCACGCCCAGCAAACTATCCTGTGCCTCACTGGGGTCAGCGCCGTGCTCAGCACTAGGACAGCAGAGTGGCTGTGACAGGCCCAACCTTCAGACCCCGGGGCAGCTCAGACCCGAGCTGTTCAGGTTCTGTCCAACCTACATGAAATGTTCTTTAAAGCTCACTTTAAATGGCACATTCCACTCCATCTTCTAGATGGACTCTGAGTCTACCGTTCTCCAATTGATGGATATGTGGCCTGTCTCCATTTTTTCATCCTTACTAATGAATCTATAGTGAACAACCTTAGGCTTATACCTCATAGGGAGTCATTCTGAGTTTTTTCTTTAGGATACATTCCTAGAAGTAGGCCACCTAGGACAAAGGGCATAACATTTTAAAGTAATTAAATTAAGAACGTGTTCTGAGTCCTAGATTGGTTGAATGGGAGGAGCTGAAGGGATACCAGGAGAAACTGTCAGTCTAGCACCTGGAAATGGGATCATGCCCTTGATGTAGATGCCTTGACAGACTCTAAGAAGAGCCTGCAGAAAATGAGGGGCGAAGGCAGTGACAGGGCATGAGGACAGGGCATGAGGTCAGAGCAGGGGACAGAAATAAAAGGTCCTGTAAGATTGAGCTGGGGGACAATGAACAGAAGGAAAAGGAAACAAGACCACAGAGAAAGTTGGAGGCTCCAAGGGCAACTGCAAGATGGCGATCTGCTGTGGAGCAATTAAAGAAAGAAATGCCAAGGTAGAGTTTGGGGACACTGGTGACTGACTGAGAGAACTGAGCGGAACGTGCTGGAAGAGGTCTCAGGAGGTAGCAAGCCAAGGTCATGTGTCTTCCTGCATGTGGACTCCCCCAGGCTTACAGAGGTTCCCCTGAGTCTGCATTCTAATGAAGTGCCCATCCCAGTGCTCTGCCAGAGACAGCCCACGGGCACACTTTGACAGTGGCCACCAAAGAGTCTGGGAAGCAATGCCAGGGGATCAGAATGCCTCAGAAGCAGCAGGTGGAGGAAAGGCTTCCGGGCTCAGGGAGAAGGGGCAGAAGCCAGAGGAGGGGAGGAGTTAAAGAGGGTGAAAGAGGAGGTGGTAGGAGAGCAAAGCCCCCAAAGGCAACGGCTGGGGTGGACCACGAGGCCGCCAAATGGGCCCTGTGTTGCTGAGGTCAGGAAGACATTGGTTTCAGGGTGGCAGCAGGCGGATGGGCTCATGCTGAGTGGCCCATTCTTCTTGAGGTCACCTGCTGAGAACGGGTCAGGATCTGGAAGACCTGAGGAGGCCGGAGAGAGCCCCAGAGCCCCGGCAAGTGTTGTGCGGCAAGTAAGGATAAAGCAGGTGCACTGTGTACTGCTGCCGGGAAGGCAGAGGCCGGCAGGACGTGCAGATGCTGGCTTCCTTCTCCCTGAAAGGTGTCTGCTCTTCAGCGTGGGGTGGCTTGCTTAAAGTTTCGTTGTGCAAGATGGCCACAAACTGTTGGAACAAATCACCCTCGTCACCCCGTGGAGACACTGGCCTCCCTTTAGCATTCCTTGCTTCCTTCCGCAGACATCTTCGTCTCCTGTGAGGCCTTCGCAGCGCTTGTCTTTTGCCTTTTCCATTTTGTCTTCACAGTCATCTCCCGTGGCCTCTCCCAGTCCCACGTCCCCGTCTTTGTCAGCCCCCACCCTTCTCTCCTCCCTCCCCTCCTGGCCGGAAGCCTAGCTGCTGCTGCACACTCATTCTGCTTCCGGGTCAGCGCAGATCTCCGATCAGAACTCACCTACTGTGGAATCTTCAGAGGAAAGCCGTGAGCTCCTCCGGTACATTTCAGGGCAGTGCTGGTAGAGCATCAGACCAGGTGCCAGGCCCCTCGCAGGGCAGGTGGCACAGCATCAAGCTGCCTTCCTGAGATCCAAATGTGTTCCCAAAGTTCATGTGCTGGAATCTTAGCCCCCAAATTCTGACATCAGTGGGAGCTGGAGGTAATCAGGATAAGAGGAGGTCCTGAGGGTGGGAACCCCGTGGTTGTGGTGGCATTAGTGGGAGAGAGACGGAGCTAGCCATGTGACGTCCTCTGTCATGTGATGACACAGCAAGAGACCCTCCTAAGATTAAGATCCTGGTGCTGGGATCGTGGCTTCCCAGCCTCCTGAGCCATAAGAAGTAAATTTCTTTCTTTCTAAAAAATAAATTACCCAGTCTCAAGTATTCAATTACAGCAGCAGAAAATGTGTTAATTTGTGTAATATACAGTTTTAATTTAGTTTTTATTCACCATTATCTGAACACCTTTCAGTTTTGTTCTATTGCTTCTACCTGCTATTTTAACTTACTTCAATTGGATTGATTTTATACAACATAGTCCATGTGTTTTAAAAACCCAATAATCTGGGCATGCGTATATAAGCCTGTAATACTAGCACTCTGGGAGGCTGAGGCAGGAAGATCACAAGCTCAAACACAGCCTGGGCAACTTAGCAACTTAGCAAGACCCTATCTCAAAATACAAAAATTTTTTAAAAGGCTGGGGATGTAGTTTAGTGTGATGGCCCTGGGTTCAGTCCTCAGCACCACACATATGCACACAGACATTCTGTTTTATTTATTGGTTCTTTCCACCATCTTTTTCCTGATGATCCAGAAGAGTGCCACTAACCTCCCTTACAAGTCCAGCTGCTTAAAGAAGTCCAGCTTGGGTGGTTCATGTCAGTCAGAGCCCCCCAAGCCGTCAGGCAGAAATGGCACTGAGGCAGGTCCACCCCTAAAAGCAGACCTGGAGGAGAGCTAGGCAAAGTCACCCAGGAAATCACTAGGGAACATGTATTACTCAGTGTGTGATCCCCATAAGTCTCCAAAATGTGCCCACCAGGATTATTGCACTGCCCGACTCCAGCCTACAGCCAAGACCTTGTCTGACATAAGAAGAAGCATGGTTCTAGTTCAATGCGTGTCCTTCTAGACTTGAGGGCTGCCACCGCCACCTGCTTCCTGCGAGGTTTGTGGCTCCACCTGGCTGCCATTCCCTTCCTGTAGCCTTGTCCCACCCCTCCCTCCTCTCCCCCAGAGTCCAGCCACCTACTTGTTGGTTTGCCTCTGGTGCTGAATGACCATGTTTTTCTCGTGGATCGTCTCCAGCAGGGCAGTTGCCAGAGATTTCAGGTCCGAGATGGACTGCGGAGTAGCCGGGAGACTGCACCCATGATCCTCAGAGAGCAGATCCTGAACTAGATGGGACGCAAAATTGACAACTGGGTTGTGAATTTTACTAGGAAATGGAACCGCAAACCAATGTCATTTCCTCCTGGACAATGGGAGGCTCTCAGCCTCTAAATGCTACTGTATGGTATGGAGAGTCTGCCTCAAGAGTCCAGAGTAAAATAAAATTCAGTATGACAGTTAAAGAGAAAAGAAAAAGTCCTGAGGGATGTTCATCAGCCACGCATGCCCTCTTTTTTGCAATATCAGGGATGGAACCCAGCCCTGTGTACACTGGGTTTGTGCTCTACAGCCCTGGCCATTCATAATTTTTTGAAGCAAAAATAATATTTGCATTTTCCCAGTATGTTAAACATTTTCATTCCAACTAACTCATTGAGACCTAAAACCAAAAAAAAAAAAAAAAAAAAAAAAAAAAAAAAAAAACAGAGCCCAAAACCTCAGTAATGTTTGTTTCTATTTTGTCGACAGGAAAGCAAGGTACAGACAGACTAAAAACATTGGCTAAAAGCCACAATTCCATGCAAATGACAGTGACTCCTCACCCTGAGATCCTTGCCCTGCAATAGTGTCCTATGGTGTGATACCTTAGCAAGCGGCGAGATAACGTAGGCACTTATACATAATGCAAAATCATTTTTTGAGTTTCAATAGCTACGTCCTTATATGACGATACTATACAAAAGAAAACAAATGGCATAACAAACCAGTGACTTCATAGATGCTACTTCTGTGCAGGACAAGGCCACATAAAATGGGTCACTTTAAAACTGCTTTAAAGAAAAAAAAATTAAGCAAATAATAGCCTAAGTGGCACAAAGATAGGTATGGAAACACAAAGCAGCCTGCTAATATCCGAATGTTGGGAAGGAGTTCATTACACACAGACTAGCTGTTCCTGGAAGCTTATTACTCCCCAAACTGCCAAGTCACATTCATGGCCAAGTTCAAAATGAAGCCAAACAACATACTGAGGTCAGTGTAACTACAGGATCCAGACCATGTTAAGTGGCGCAGCATGCACACCCTGCCCTGGATAAGTCTCTGCTGACAAATCTCCAGTCATCTATGGACAGCTCTGATAGGAAATCCCCCTGCTTTCTGCCTGGTTGCAAAAGTGTCTAAGAAATAATTTCTGATTCATCTCCTGCCACTTCAAATACATAAAGGAATAGTCCAGGTGTGGTATGACCAACTTAGCACAAGCTCGTGCTGTCATCTCCTTTATTCCAAAGAGGATACTTCTGTTAATATAATGTGAGACTTCATTAGCCTCTTTGGCAATAAAACGCCGTTAATAAATAATAAAAGAATATAGTCTGCTAAAATCTCTTTCACTGGTAATGCTGTTAAAACTCCACTCCCCTATTTCTGTCTGGTTGGGCTCAAAATGGCTTCAGTGAGCCAGGTGTGATGGCACACGCCTGTAATTCCTGCACATGGGAGGCTGAGGCAGGAGGACTGCCACAAATTCGAGGCTACTCTCAGCTACAGAGCAAGTTCAAGGCCAGCCTGGACTACAAATGAGACCCTGTCTCAAAAACAGAAGAAAAAAAGGCACTCCTGGCTGCTAGCCCATTCCACAGCATGGCTGATCTAAACGAAGAACCTTTGCTTCTGACTTTGCCTCCCTTGGCTTTTTCAGATCCTCAGAGTCAGAAAAGTCTCCTGTGAAGAAGTCTGGTTTGAATGCACCCAATATCCTGCCTTATTACAGCAGTGACATATGTTTAGGAAGGGTGAATAAGCTGAGATATAACACAAATATACAATGACCACCACTACTCCTTCCAGACACAATAAAGCAATGGTAGAAATCTCTCCCAATAGCTCTCTGAATAGCATTTCCTATGTAACTACACGTAGCTAAAAAAAAACAAAAATGGAGAAAAGCACTGCTTTCTTTCACTTGACGATACTCCGTCTGCCCCAGTAATATCCCACAAAACTTAAAATTTAGCTGCAGCTTTAATAGTTCATGCATAGACACATAATGTTTTGAACTACTGCTGGACATTTACATCACTTCCAGTTTTCTATTCTCATTAATGCATGACAGACTTCCTGTAGCAAAATGTTTGCATATATTTAAAATTATTTCTTGCTCCTTCAATGGGGGTCAGTTTAAGACTATTCATAATAGGTGGCCATAGATTCATAGGTTTGGATTACCAGTGCCGGTAGATCACTGGCGATAGGCTTTGCCTAGTAGGCTTTTCGGAAGTCAGGTCAGGCGCCTATTTCTGCCACCCACGTCTGGCTGGGTCTCCATGCTCACAGCCAGTCTGCTATCCATGGCGGCCAGAGCTAGACACCGTTGGGCCCATCCACATTTTTAGAATTACAGTTTTCTTTTTAAAACACTTCTAGGATGCTCTTTTCTAGTGAAGTGGAAACAAAGAAGTTGCTGGGAACAGAGCCTTGGTTGTTAGGTAGGCTGGGGACTCAGCTCGGATGGAGAGGCCGCATAGCCTTTGCTGGTGACAACGTCAACAACCGCAAAATGGGCCAGCATGTGCAATGCAGAGCCTGTGTTTAGAGCTGAATTCTGAATATTAAGCGTCAGAACACAAGACCTCTGCTATTTATTCCCCTGCCCTGTTCCAGGAAGATCATTATTTTTCTTTGGAATCAACAAGAAGGAGGAACAAAATTGCAATCAATAGAAGCTTGTTTGAAAAAGGCACGTGTTCCATGGTAAGATGACTCCAGCAGCTACCAGGCTTTTTCTGATGGCAGAGGCCAGGAGATGGAGAAACTCAAGAAGGCTGAAGCACATCTTAGAGATGCTCAGCCAGTGACTGGGGGTAGGGAAGTGTATTGGTAAAGGATTAAGTCATTGAGAAAACCTATAATGCACTGATTCTCAAAGCAGGACCACCGAACCTACAGCAGCATTAGCTGGGAAGTTTTTGGACTTACTGACAGATGCCCACCCTGGACCTGCTGAATCGGAGCTCTGGGGAAGACCTGGTATTCTGTGCTACCACAAGACTTCCAGGTGATTCCCATGCAGGTACAAGTTTGGAGACCACTTCTAGGATCGCCTGGCTCCCCATCTGCAAACCCAGCAGCTTGGACATGTGTTTCTAAGTGGCCTTGCCTGGACCGTGAGTGCCTACCTTGCTTTGCAGACAGGACTCCAGTCAGAGCACTGCTGCTGGATTTGCCCTGGCCCTTTGAGGTTTTCCGTCTCTCAAGAGCATTCTACAGCAGCATTGAAAGGAAATAAAAACACTTGTTAGAAAAACCAACAATGTAAAAACACCTCACTGGAGGACATGCACCTACCCATTGGCACCAAGAACCTCTTGCAAAATCCACATGCTGACACATGGGATCCACAGCCCTAGCTAGAGTTGTGGATTTTACAGATGGCAAAATGATAGTAATTACAGCATCCCCCACACTCAAAGGCTGCTTGATGCATGTTCATTAAATTAAATTAAATCTGAAGTAAGGATGCAGTCTGATGTGTAAAGTCTAGTTATGGAAATCCCTTTGGAATGGACATGAAATAGGGAAAAGGTTTACTTTCATGAACCAATGGTGATATCTGGAAGGTCTGGTCCCTGGATTGGAAAGAGAGCCATGATTGATTAGTGATGTCTGCCACAGACACAGATTAAGGTGGTACATGTGCGCTGCCTCTGCATCATTCTCAGGGTGAACTCATGCATTACAATTGACATGATGTATGTATCAGTGTTTGGCACACAGAACAGAATAAATGCTAAATGAATGCATCCACCTATTTTTAAAATTACGTATTCAAATCTGTTTCTTTGGCTGCGTGTGTATCTATAGATTGGTGTAGAATAAAGTGTGCTCCCTATGGAATGAAAAAGCATGGAAATTTCTGAGAACAAAAGATCATGCCAACAACCAGGACAGTGAGCGGGCTCGCCCATGCATCTCGATGGCTGTAAAACTTCACCCTCAGGAAGAGGAATCAATCTATTTTCAAAGCGGAGAAACCCAGGAGATTTTTCTAATTATAACACTTACAACTAACATCTGCAGAAATAGATATTATCAAACTAATGGTGCTGGAATTAGACTAAATAACAGTGGGGAGAATTCAAACACCCTGTCCTTTCAATGTGACGTGAACATTATCGTTTGGAGCGTGATTTCCCAATCTTTGTTTCTTCCTCCCTCAGAAACCATTTTCTTATGGATGATTATGAGACAAACAGCATCTGATGACTGCACATTTTACAGAGAAAATGGATAGGAACCCTAATTTCACATGGACCAAGGCTGTAACATGGAAATGTTCAGATTCTGGATATCTCAGATGCCTGGTTGACTTCAGCTGTAGAAGGGGCTCTGGCAAAAGTTGCTTTGATGCTGTTTGGGGGTTAATTTTTACTGGTTGCCCTGGTTAAAGCTCTTATTGGGCTCTATCTGGGAGGGCAGGCAAGCACTAAAATATCTTTGGCACATAAGAGAGAATTAAAATAGGATGACATTTAGATGTATAATGGTGAATCACCAGCATTATCATCGTGATTTCGCTACCTTGTATTTGGCAATGTTCGATTTCAAGAGGTTGACCTCTTCGTGGAGTTGTTTTAATCTCTCTTGAAGGTACCTGGAAAAGAATATATCCCACTAGGATGTGTCTGGGAGCAAAATAAAAAACATACACTAAACTAGAAGAGGAAAAAAATAAAAACAACTTGCGAGAAGAGCTATTTTTTATAAATAATGCCTCCTTTCTCATTCCGGAAAGGAGGAGGAGAAAAATGTACATCTCTGTAACCTTTTCTTAAATGGATGTGATCAAGGTCAAACATGCCCAAATCACCAACACCCCACTCTGAAACAGCCCCTGCAGAGGGCCCCTAAGGGACATCAACACACTTTTCACATAATTCTCATTAAGATGATTCCACTGGGAAGCAAGGCAAGAAGAGGCGACACCAGGCATAACATTAAGGGAGACACATACACACACTGAAATTCGCCTCGGGGAGAAGAAAGAGCTAAGGGAATTTCTCAATTTATTTTCTTATTCCTTTCCCTCTCCTTGATAGCAATAACAAGTAGCTCTTGCTGGCTCCTCAGCCTGCCGGCCCACACGGGGAAGGGGTCGGGGAGAGAGAGGGCTCGGTGCATGGGCCTGCTGTGCCTCTTCACTTACTTTATAATTAGTATGTGACATTCATTGGTAGCATTGGGGGCCACAACTTTGTTTTTGCTCACAAGGCAAGTTTTTCAGATGCAAAAAAACTGCAAAGGACTCCTGGCCTGTCCCACCCAGAAGGCCAGCGCGGCACTGAGCATGATGACCACTTGCCTGTTCTCCATACACAGGGCATCCACGTCGATGATGCGATTCTCATGGCCGCCCAGGATGTGGTTGAGCTCCTGGTTCAACCGGTCCACTTTGTCCTGGTAGGAGGCCCGCTCTTCCTTGACGTCCTGAAGCTCATCCACAGAGGCCTGCAGGTCATGCTCCAAAGACTCAATCTGCAACCCCAGAAGTGCCCTCACTCAACACGGTCCCCAGACATGGGCATTTTATGGCCAGAGATGGAGCCACTTGCCTGGCTAAATGACTGTTAGAGAGTTTCTTATTATCACTTGCATGCTATAAAACCACACACACTGCATACTGGGTAAAAGCTAGTGGTGAGGGGCTGCCTTCCTGCCAGGCATTTACTCCATCCGGGATGGCCAAGGCACAGCAGCTCGCGAGAGAGCTGAGTCCCACCACTGCAGTTGCCCTTCAGCCACTGGCTCTCAGAGGGTGAAGCCAGAACCCAGGAACCACTGCTAGCACCTTATAAATGAATAATGCTTCCAACCCAGTCTAGAGCCAGGTATCTTGGTTCCACTTTTCAAAACCAATTAGCAAGTGGAAGAAAACGAGCAGCAGGCTCTTAGCTGCTCCCTGCTCGGATTTTACCTAGGAAGCATCACTGAGCATTTTGGTGGAAACCTGCAAACAAAGGCCAGCTTGTCAAGTACTGGTCCCTCCCAGCCTATCCCGGATGGGGGCACAGCTTCTGGTTGTGTTCTAAATAGGGCCACCCGTGTCAGCCAGACACCCAAGCGTCAGCTGGGAACCTGGGCAGCACGCAGGAGTACAACAGTTGGTGCCACCCTCTGTCCATCTCCAGCATTCAAGAAGATGCAAGGCGCATGTCTACCCTTGGGTTGTGCCCAGCTGTGCAGACCCACCCCACGCCCTTGACGGACATTCATGACCACCTGTTCCTTTGCCTGCTCCAGCTGCTGGACCAAGTCTTCCCTCTCGTGGGCTGCAAAGTGCCGCACACCGATTTCTTCATCCCCGAGCCTTTGCTTAGCAATCGTCATCCTCAAGAGCTGCATTTTCCATCGGTAAGAATGAGAGAGGGGAGGGGGTTTGAATGAGTAAATCCAAATATAACTCAAGAAAGAAATTTCTGATAGAAAAGATTCTTTCAAGAAATTCTAGGGATCCAGGAGTGGTGGCGCACACCTGTAATCCCAGCACTCTGGAGGCTGAGGCAGGAGGACTGTGTTAGTTTGAGCATAGCCCTGGCAACCTGGCAATTTAGTGACACCCTGTTGCAAAAGAAAAAATGGGTTGGGGGTGTAATACAGTGCAAAGGCTGTGGGTTCACTCAATGGTGTGAGAGAAAGAGAGAGAGGGAGGGAGGGAGAAGGAGAAGGAGAAGGAGGGGAGAGAAAGAGGAAGGAGAGAGAGACAGGGGGAGCGAGGAGGAAGGAAGGGGAGGGAGGAAAAGCAAAAGACAAATCGCCTATATTATGAATTCTTTAAAAAAAAACTCTCCACTGGAATTTGTGGTGCCTCACAACACTCACCTGTACGCACACAGTTCAAGACCAACGGGAAGGCGGGTGTGGTGCAGAACGAGGCCGCAGTGAAGAAACAACTCTGCATCTCATTTACATTTCCCCAAGATTTAAAACTGAGACCAGCGCTGGTGAAGATCACGGAGATGCCCCCCCACCCTGTAGCAACTTGGCCATGTGATCCAGAGCCCTCAAAATGTCTCCACCGATGACCCAGAAACTGCTCAGACCATCTGAGCTAAGAATAATCCAAGAAATGGACTAGCTTTAGGAAAAAATTAAAAGTAGATTTTTTTTTTTTTAATATGAAGAGTAATAAAACTAGAAACAATGCCTGACCATAGTAGAAGGCTCGGTAAAATGTCGCCCAACCAGTCCATGGGGGCGGATGTGTAGCAATTTGAAACCGGGGTCACGTGGACAGTGTGACACAGGGACAGCCTTATGATGCCACATTCCGTGGGGGAAAAAAAGCACACTAACTTTTCTATGCAGTAGGATCAAAGTTGTACTATAAGGATAAATGCATATAAGGGTGAATGACCAAATCCACAAAAATATAATATTTTATAATTTTATAACATTGTAATATTAAGTGTAGGTGATGCTAAGACTGTATGTGCTGTTATGTTCCTTGTTTTCTAACTTTTTAAAGCTGGTAGGCATAAATTTCATACACCTTTATTTATGTTTGAAAATCCCTGGGAAGATAATTCCAGTGTTCAAATGTTAGTTTCCAAGGGATCCCTGCAAACCTATAGCCTTTCCAGACTCTGCAGCCCCACCTTCCCGGAAAGGCACTGACAGTGGGGACCAGCGGAGGGGATCCCACAAAGATCCGAGGGTCTCAGCGCACCCCAGACCCACCCACCCCATGCCAAAAAGGCTGCCACTGCAAAGTGAACTTTCAGAGCTGCAGCACTGCTTCCTGATGCTCCGTCTAAGGTTTCGAGCGTGGATCCACACTTCCCAGCAGGGCACACGAGGATGGGTTGTTTACACACGCACGAGGTCCCGGGGACAGTTTTTCACTGCCACGCATGTGTGACGGAGCCACGACTGCCTGCTGGGGGCACACGCTTCCTTTTTCCTGCATGAATCTTGAGAGATTAGTTGTTGCTACAGACAGTGGCTTAATATTCAGTTTCCGATGGATTTAGGGGTAGGTGAGACATTAAAATTAAGCTGCGGTAGAATATCAACTAAAGAGAAATAATAACAGCGATGAACTCAGAAAGAAATGATGACTAAAGAAAAGTAAAAGTGTTTTCCGGTGACATTTAGTTTGGATTTTTTTTCCCTAAAAACGAATCAACTGATTCCAATAAATATGTATTGGTCGCCGTGAGCGGTCGCACCCCTGAGATCTGGCGCGGAGTGTGCAGCGAGGGTGGAGGAGGCGAGCATTTCCGCGCAGACTGCGGTGTAATGCAATCCGCGTGGAGTCCGCGCCCACTGTCCATGGCTTCTGTATTTGCAAAGTGCCTACCCCGTGAAACCCTGTTTAAGCCCCACATCATGGTCGCTGCTGGACACATGCAGCGTGGTCAAAGATCACGGGCCCAACACGCACATTCCCAGCTGAGGTTGAAGGAGGCCACCATCCGCCTTCTCGGTTCCGCCCTCATCTGTAAGCTCGGGTCCTTTTCAAGGTCTACTTAGAGCCACGTTTCCACATTTTTGTTTCCTTGTGTGTGTGCCCTTGCTGTTCCTCCCCTACACACCTCCCACCCCACATCCATAATCGTACAGGCCCCGGGGGTACAATGTGTTGGTTGAGTTTATGTAAACATCAGGGCAGACAGCTTATCCTGCGCCTCAAAACTCACCATTTCTCTGTGGAGAAAATATTCACAATCCCCTCTCTAGCTGTTCTGAAATAAACAATGCTATAGTTATTGCTATTTATAGTCACTGGATTGTGCCACATTTCACGGAAACTTCTTCCTCCCAGCTGGAACTATGGCCTTCTTGTTGATCAGTCTCCCTCCTACCTTCCTTCCCTAGGTCCTCCCTGGCCTCTGGTAACCACCCCTCTACCCTCCACTTCTACAACAGCTAACTTTTTAGATTCCACAAGTTACTGATCTCGTGGTACTTCTCTCTCTCTGTGCTTTGCTATTTTGCTTAACATAATGTCTTCCACATTCATGTCGGCTGTCACAAATGGCAGACTTTCGTCTTCTTAAAGGCTGAGTAGCATCCTGTTGTGTATACGAACCACATTTTTCTCTATCCATTCATCCACTGATGAACCAGTAGGTTGATTCCATATCCTGGCTAGTGTGAGAAGCACTTCCATGAAGAACTGAGCACAGGTATTTTTGACACATTGATTTCACTTCCGTTCTCTGTATACCCAGCAATGAGACGGCTGAATCACCTGGTGTTTGTGTTTGTCTCTGAGGTCCCTCCGCACCATTTCCCACAGTGGCTGCACTAATTTGTACAGAAGGGGTCCTTTGAGACAGACCAGGAGCATGCGATGTGCCTGCGCAGAGTAAGCTTTCTTCAGGCCCGAGGGCCAGTGCTGTTGGACTCCTCCTTCATTCCACGTTAATGAATTAACCATATATATTAAATACGGCAACTCTAAACAGAAGCACGCAGGTTATAGTTGATCAGTTGTGTGGCCAGAGGCTCACAGGAAGCTCCCTGTGTCCCCCAGGAACCACAGTTCAGTATCTGTGAATTCAGAGTCTGAGGCAACTTCACGGAACAAATTTACTGCAGAACTGGTTCTTGCTCCGGAAGGCAGAAATGCACAGACATCTTCTGTCGCACAACTCTTGGCCCAGGAAGTACAGGAGACTCAACAGGGCCAACCTAGAGCCAAATGAGAGCGGGTCCTTAGGTGGCGGTGGGGGGGCCCTACAGGGGGGAAGCTCCGCCCTACCTCACAGCGCGGACTATGCTCATCTCCCTGGGACGAAAAAGCCAGCCAGCCAGCCTGAACTTTAAGTAACAGACACCATTGTGGCTTTGCATTAGCAATACGCTTCACTGAACATTTAATTTAGAATCACACAATTGTGTTTGCTTAATGCCAATTAATTATTAAACATGTTTATTGAGGTCTGACAGCCCTATAAGAGAGTCATCTTTTATATACTGGATGCCTGTTAAGCTTCAGTAAATGTGTTAACAATCATTTGGTGTTTAATGTGCCTACAATATCAGCTCTTACGTCGCAGGGCTGTGCTGGTTGAAACACTTTTAAAAGTGAGGCCCAAGTTGGTGACAGCTGGATGATTAGTTGGGTCTGAGACTCAAGTGCAGTGTATTGCAGGGGCCTGAGGAGATCACTGTCGTAGGTCACAGCCCAGCAGATTTAGGGAGAGCCCTGCTTGTTCCAGGCGGGCAGCTCACATGCTCTGGCGTCAGCTGCCCAAGGGCTCCTGTCCTGGCTACAGGCTGCAAGCTGTGCAACGCTGAGAACTTGTCCAGCCTTCTCTGGGCATCAGCATCATTCCTGGTAAGAACACAGCAGTAAAAGGAGAGCCTCACAGGAGGGGCCCAGTGTGCAGGCAGGGAGAGAGAAAAGGGGCGCAGCCCATGAGTGTTCCATGGAAAGGAGTTCAGATATCTGTGTATCAGGGTGAAAAGAGAAGGGAGACCAAAAAGAAGGAAAGAGAAGAAAAATAATTCCACGATGTGGCTGTTTCTGCCTCCTTCGTATGCTCAACCAGCCCGGGTGAGGCAGGACAGTGCCACTTATCACACATACAGCAATGACACTGATTAATACGTTCAGCAAAATCAGACTTCACGTAATTCTATAGGTCCGGCACAGATATCCAACCACATGTCCTAACACGGGACAATTTAAGGGACATCAGGGAAAGTGGGGCCTGATACAAACTTGCCCTCTTGCGGGCTGCCAAGCAGAGAAGGCGGCTTCTCGGGTGACCCTGGCGCCACCCTGGCGCACCCAAGGGGCTTGGTGCCACAGGCTGCTCTCCAGTTGCTGTTACTGCGTCCCTGCGCCGGCGGGCAGGAGCCCCCGGGGGAAGGGCCATGGCTCTTCCGCCCACGCTGGCCGCGCTTCGGGCCAATCTTATCTGCAGAGAGCAGGCAGGGATGCTGATTTCCCACCTTGGAAAGGCTGCAGTGGGACCACTCAGGGCACTTAATACCCTGCCGCGGGGCTGTCAGAATTCCACCACCGGCTCCAGGCCCAGCCACAGAGTGGACCAGTGCCCTGCCTGGCAACAGCACTGCCACCAATAGGAACATCTGTGTGCTGATTTGGTTGGAAATAAATGTTTATGAATGAATTACGGGTCGGCCCCATCGGGCTGTGTCACCTAAAACCAGGCCCAGCTGCAGCTGGGATGTGGCTGAGGGACATGGCCCAAACAATGCAGGGAAATGGCTTCAGCGTCCTCACCCAGCAGCCAAGGCCCTGCTCAATCTCCATCCTCCAAGCCTCCTATGGCCTCCTAGGGAGGCAGACTTGCTTCTTGCTTTGATCTTTCAGGCTTCATCTTTCATAGCCCTGAGAATTCTCTACCTCATATAGTTTT